AGGTGCTGCCCGCCGTGCCGGAGCAAGACGTGCTCAAAGACCTCGGTAACAACCATGCAATCTTATTTATAATATAAATGTAAAAGTTTACATGGATGGATTGTTACAGCTTGTAGCTTAAACGGCTAAACGGATCTCAATGAAATTTGGCTTGATTTTAGAGGATAGTCTGGAAGAACACATAGGCTATTTACTTTTTTTATCCCACGCGAACGGAGTCGCGAGCGAAAGCTAGTTTATAGTATCTTGCAATGTTGCACTAACATATTTATAGTACTGGGGTGATGGACAGTTTGATGATATTGATACGTTCTATTTGTCAAATATCGAAATCTAATTATCCGTATTTGTATGACTTAAATGATTCCCTTCCAGCCAGGACACGCAGCGTGGATGTGACAATAACCAACTTCCTAGAAGGAATAACTCCGTACACGCCGGAGACTCCGCCCCCGGCCGCCGTCCCCGCCGCAGCCCCCGAGCCGCGCCCCGGGCCCTCGCGGGAGCCCCCCAAGTACGTGGTGCCCCCCCCCACCGGCGTCTTCCCCAAGACAGCGCGCGAGAGGCAGCTCAGCTTCCAGGAGCGGAAGGTGCAGATGATAGCCGAAGCCAGGAACAAATATATACAAAAACACGGAGTCGACCTCGCGGCGAACTCTTGAATACTTCGCTAGTAATTTTACGATAAATACGACGAGTCTGTTTGTCCACAGTTGACAGCAATCATTGAATTTTAATTAAAATTGTGATAAATCAGTTGCATTTTGATTTCTATACTAGCAAAATATATACCCTTAAAGTACTTTTTAATGAGTTTTAATACGAATATATGTATAATTCTATTATTATAAATAATCCAATTTAATCAAAACATTAGTAGAATTAGAATTAAAAATATTATATTCAAAAAGATTGTTGGATTTATCGTAAAATTACAATAATAAAATGTATAAATTGTAAAAAGAAAATGGCGCGGCTTTTACAGGGGAGTTCATTTCTAGTGCCTAAACAATTTAATTGCTAAGGTAAGAGTGAATTTTAAATTTATCTCTAGTATTTTCAATAAATTAAAAAAAAAATTGCCGGACAAGGAAGTTTTTTGTAATGTTTTTTTTTTTATAAATATTTTGTGGCTAAACCCAGTAGACCTTTTAATGTTTATGTATGTACACATTATTTTTAAAATAGATAAAACACGACACATTTTACAGAGCTTTCTTTTTTTTTAAAAAAAAAACAGTTACTTTTCAACAGAAACGAAACAGTTTATTTCAAAGGTTTTTAATTTTAATATGGGTTTTTTATTAATTAATTAAGATAAAGGAGAAATTGGATAAAACTCGGAATTATTTTTAAACTATTGCGTCCTTTGTAATTTATGTGATTTTCACAGAGACGGAGTTCGAAAAAGACTTATTTCCAAAGGCGATTTGTACAAAAATATTAATACTTCAATGAGAAAGTAAAGGATGGCAATATGTTCGTGTTTTGCCGTTAATTTAAACACCAATAACAATGTACTATGACCTTTATTCATATGCTGCTAGAGTTTATTTTTGTACACAAGCTGGTAGTCGCGTTAGATGCCAAATTAGGATTCATGTTGTTAAAAAATATATATAAAAGAATGATTATAATGAGATTTAAATAACAATGTAATTGGCAAGAAATCACAATGTTGAGAATTTCAACAAAAATTTAAATAATTACTATTTTGACTCAAGTTTAGATAAATATTGTTCTTAGTTTTTTGTTCTAGTTACAGCTCTGACGTCACAATATGGCGCTGGTATACATTCTTATTTAAAACTCATTGTATGGATTTTAATTAGAGTTTTACTACAAATAAGAAAACTGATTGGTAAAAATATAAACTGTTTTTTATATTTGTATGATGTAATATAATTAAAAATAGAAAAATAACATTTGCACTTCTTGAACCATTTAACCTAAAATATAAAACATTTGAACCGAGTTTTGACGACGTAATTATTCTTTCCCTAGTGTTAAGTTTTAATTATATACCTAAATAGATTAAGTGTAGATCTCCTTTACTTTTTGTAATTTACGTATATAATAAATTCCTGAGATTCATGGCAATACATTTTGTTTTTAATTTCATCGGTTTTCTTTTATTTTTTCAAATAGTAGTAATTTAATTTTTTTCAATTATCGTAAATTTCTTAGTTCTTTTTTTAACTATAAGCTCGATTTTACTTATTTTAGATTATTTATAATTGAATAGTAATTATTATTACAATTTTAGCTTGCGTCTTCCTTTATTAATTAGTGACATTTTTAAGTAGACATAATTTTAGTTCAATAATTGTTTTGGAAGAATTTGTATCATTTTATAAATATAATTTGTGTACTATATACTCATAAATGAGAGATGATTTTGTTTTGGACATATCAAAATATTTTATTTTATTGAATAATTTTGTCTTCCTATCCGCTTTCTGTTTTATGTTATTTTGTTTTGACAATTAAAGAATTGTTTCGAATAAATGTGTTTTATTTTCTACAATTCAGTTGGCGAATTTATTTTATCCGACAGAGATTCACCTTTAAAAATTAACTGTGGTAAATAAAATTTCAATAACACATACAGGATTCCTAACGGACGAATCAACGACTTTGTGGAAAGAGGACCTCATTAGCTAGCGTTTAAGCGCAAACTATGTTGCCCGATTTTTTGATAGTTATTTATTTTTTGTAAAAGAAACGGAAAAATCAGATTTCCGTCCAAAGTTTGTCCTTACGTCCTAAATAATGCGTTAACAGTGGTCAATTTTTTTCTTTAACAACCCTAATAATGGGGCTTTCGTACCATTTTTCGAAATAACACATACGAAAACGAAAAAAAATATATTGAATTTCTTGAACTATGAGAAGCTGTATTTAATCTTTTACATCAACTTTTTCCTACAAGTTTTTTCACAAACTGTGCCCATGCCTCAGAAATAAAATAAAAAAAATCTCGGCTTTGGTTTCTTTAATGTTTTGAATTCACCCTGTATATATACGTAAAAATATGAGAAAAGTGAGAGAGCGTCAAATGGAATGTAGTGTCTGCTTACCTATTATGTGACAGGTGGGACTTATGTTGTTTTAATAAAAATCTTTTATAGTAAATTATACTTTATTATTGATAATTGTATAAACAGTGCTAAAGGCCGAGTCTGTGCGGCGTGCGGCGCGGCGTGTTCAGTCCGGGCGTCGCTATCTCCTGCTTCACGGGAACTTCTTCGTCTCTCTTCCTCTTCTCTTCTGCCATCTTCTGTTCCGCTTCCTTCATCTCTTCTTCCATTTTTTGTAAGTGGACTGCTGCTTCTTTCTTTTTATCCCGGTTCGATCTAAAGGCAAATTAAAAATGAAACTGTCGAACTGAAATACGAAAGTTTAGATGGATGTCAGAATTTGTAGTCTAAACTGCTATTCGGATTTCGATTAAATTTGGCATAAAAGTAGAACTTAGTTTGAAGAAGATCTACTTTTGAACCCGGAAATGGTTGCGGATTTCAAGGAATGTATTATTTTAAAAATTCAAACCAAAAAAAGGTAATTTATCTGTGAGTAACATAGTTTTATTAATTTGTTTTAAATTTAAAAAAACTGTTGATTTAAAATTTAAATTAAAATTTAAACAACAGTTTAGTACAAAATAAAACAAGATACACAAAGAAATCCTATAAAAAGACAATAACAATGGATGTATGGATGGATGGGTACTGACTTGCCGGTCTCCTTGACGGAGAAGAACATGGGGCCGAGGTGCGCCAGCCAGCGCGCGTCCACGGCGGTGACGCAGTGCATGTACTCGCGCGAGGTCATGGTGAGCTCGTGGTACACCACGTAGTCCGGGGGGCTGCCGAGCCCGAACAGCGCAGAGGTGGGGTGCAGGTGGCAGGGCATGCCGGTGCGGCAGTTCACGTACTCGCCTATGCCCTTTAGCCGAGCTGCTTGCTGGAAGTACGCTGCGCGGGAAATTTACATAATGTACACTAAAACAAAAAAGTAAAATAATGCAGGATGAGGAGTGATGGTGTGTGTGAGGTGGAGGAGGTGTGTATGAGGTGTGTGAGGTGTTTTTTTTTAATTTTTTATAAAGGGAAAAATACTTTATAGCACCGTCAGACATGGGAGCTACATGCCTGGTGTGTCGGGCTCAGGCTCATTAGTATTCACCTAACCTGAGTCCCGTTACCGACTTTGGACTTTTTTGTGCCCCCACGGAACTACCGTCAAGTATTACATCGTGGGGGCGGTCTCAGCAATTATGCTTTTCCTGCTTGCAATCTGCGCTTCAGCTCCTTGAGTCCATTATATTGGATCTTCCACGTTCTTGCTCAGCACGCCGTAATTTTCTCAGTGTGTGAGGTGTGTGAGGTGAAGGAGGTGTGTGTGAAGTGTGTGAGGTGTGTGAGGTGTGCGAGGTGGAGGTGTGTAAGGTGTGAGATGTGAGGTGGAGGAGGTGCACGCACCGGAGCAGATGCACTCGCGCACGGTGTCCCAGCGCGTGCCGCAGGAGAGCAGCGGCAGGCGCTGCGCCTGCAGGATGTCGCGCAGCTGCTGGCGCACCTCGCGCACTTTGCGCAGCGCCTTCGCGTGCACGAACTGCTGCGTGCACCACGCGCTCGAGTAGCTGCGACACACACCTCACTGCTCTGCATTCTTTTATACGAAAAGAGTAACGGATCGCTCCAACGCCCATGAACATCTGCAACGCCAAGGGAGCTGCAGATGCGCTGTCGGTCTTTAAGGGACGAGTACGCTCTTTTCTTGTATAATGCCAGTTACACACGAGCGGGTTTTAACTTTTTTTTTTATAAGAAAGGGAGACAAACGACAAATTCCCATGGACATCTGCATTACTAGAGGTACATGTTGCCGGCCTTTGAAATGCTAGGCTCGCTTTTAAAGGACACTAAGCCGTATTAGTTTGGAAATCCCGCCGAGGACAGACAGTTCCGCGAAAACCACACGATCGTGGAATGCTGAGATGGTGAGGATGGTACTTGGCGGTTTGCCAATAACGAAACTCGGCGACAGAAATTTTTCATCTTACTAATATAAATGTGAAAGTTTGGATGGATGTTTGATAAAATTCATAGCCTAAAAGGATCTCGATGAAATTTGTCACAGATTACGAGGACACTCTGGAAGAACACATAGGCTACTTGTTTTAATTTCGCGCGGACGGAGTCGCGGGCGCAAGCTCGTAGTAAATAGGTGCGTACTTGTTGGCCTTCCACTGGTTGTAGAGATGCAGCAGCGTGAGGTGGTCGGACTCCGGCACCTGGAACTTCTCGCGCGCCGCGTCCGCCTCCTCCTCGCGGCCCTGCGGCCGGTAGAACACCGACGGCACCGACAGCATCGACACTGACAACACACGCGCAAAGTCCCGCACTCGCTCACACAACGACTACCGCTCTGCTAGAGGGTCAGCTGAACAGTATTGGGAATAAATAGAGTATAAGCAACTATTAGACCAAATTTGGCTTAAGAGAATTTAAAGACAGAGTTGAAACCTTCGGTGGACAAACATAATTAGTATACCTATTATACTACATAGTGGGAGGGATCTTCAAAACATACCCTTCCTTCTAGGGGGAAGACAGAGTTTGTGAGGTTCGCACCCACTAAAACCACCACGGTATCAACCCTAAATGCAATAGAAGTTTGACTGTAAGTGTGTGCGCTGGCTCACCGATGATGAGGACCTCTGCGCTGCAGCCCATGTCCGCGCTGACGATGAGCATGTGGCACTGCGGCGGGTCCAGCGGGAACTCCGCCATCTGGCGGCCCAGCGCCGTCAGCTCGCCCGTGCCGTCCAGCGCGCCCAGGATCCACAGCTGGTACATCGAGTTCAGGATCGTGTCCTGCACGCGCGTTGTACTACATTCTTTTAAGCGAGTAATATTATTGAAAAAACGTAATTAACTTAAAAACTCAGGCCACTGCCTTCTGCCAGAATGGCGCGCAATTCTATTACGACTGAATGACATTGACAGCTGTCATCTGACAGGGATGTCCCTATGTAGAGAGAAGACGATAATTCCAATGATCTATTGTTGCTCCAATCCTCCAGCGCAGTACTTATTTTCTTCTTAACAATAGTAAATCACAATATGAACAAGGATTTTGCATCATCTACCAATGAAATAATTTTCTGTCAGTATGTCTATAAAGTCTGATTTAATTTTCTACCTAAAAAAATGAATAATACTTTGTTATAAAGATCAATTAGACCACTCTTTAACAGAAATTAAAAATCACAGACTTCACGCCGGTCTTCTATGAGAGTTGGTCCTTCGAGGCGGTAATGTGTCAACATTGTTCTTCTGTTCTGTTCTGCTTCGTGTGAGATGTGTGTGTGGGGGGAGGGGTACCTGCGGCGGGGGGTCCATGAAGTGGAAGGCGAGCAGGTCGCGCACGCCGAGCGACTTGAGCAGCAGCACGGTGTTGGCGAGGTTGGTGCGCTGGATCTCGGGCACGGTGGCGGGCAGCAGCTCGTGCGTGTACTGGCGCTGCGTGTACAGGCAGAAGGCCTTGCCGGGGCCCGTGCGGCCCGCGCGCCCCGCGCGCTGCCGGGCGTTCGCCTGGCTCACCGGGTAGATCTACAACAGAGACCCCTCGCGGAATGGTAACTAGACCTTCTTATATCTCAACTAGGGAAGCAAACATCTTATTTCATATCAATGACAGCTGTTTTACAAAATATATGAGAGAAATAAGTTTACCTGTAAGGCGTCCATACCAATCCTGGGGTTGTAGACCTTCAGCTTGCAGTAGCCGCAGTCGATCACGTACATGATGCCGTCAACAGTTAGCGAAGTTTCTAATAAAAAAGACAAGAATCATTGCAATATCTCCGACAGTTAGAAGTAATTTATGAGTTAATTAACAAGTCCACAATTCACAATTTTACATCCAGGAACTTCCTTGGGACCTATATTTAGCAAAACCCTTAACTAAGTGAAGTCATATTATACCTGCAATGTTGGTAGCGACGATGCATTTCCTCTGGCCGGGTGGCGCGCGTTGGAAGATCTTGGCCTGCAGATCCGCTGGCAATTGTGAGTAGATCGGCAACACAGTCAAAGGCGGCGCATTGTCCAGCTCGCCCAGACGCTCCGTCAACACCTGGATGACAATGTCACATAATATTGACACACTAACACGGCAGTTATGACACCGGGGAAGATTTAAATGACAGATAAAACTTCTAAAGAAAAAGACTTGACACAATATGATAAAGCTTGCCTATAAACTAAAAACAGTGCAAAACCTGCAGGCTGGGAACCTTAAAAATAAATCAATAGGCAGACCGATCATTTGTCGTAGTTGCTTATTACATAACTAAAGTTTATTTTTTATGTAAATTCATTAGATATGGAACTAAACAAACCTCACAAGTGACTTCAATATCTTCCTGACCCGGCATGAACACCAGAATATCTCCATCATCAGGCTGCAAATGTATTTGAAGAGCCTGCAAAATTAAAATAAATTTTTCGCCTTTTACTGCTTTTAATATTCACTGTATTATATCACTATCATAAAGCATTAAGGGCGCGGACACCTTTGACTAAACTATCGCATAACTGTTTAGTCTCTCTTTGATTCTTATGAACTTATATGGTGCGCACACTACTCGATTTTTAGTTGTACAACTAAGCAGTTGAATTGGCTCCAAAACAATCGACAATCGCAAACAGTTGTGCGATAGTTTGGTAAAAGGTACGTCCGCTCTTAATCAATTTACTAAAAAAAGTCTTGTAGATAAAAAGAAAGTAAATGTTGTAATTAAAAAACCATAAGTATACAATAGGTACAAAATGTTCTATTTACATTTTTAAGTTAACGCCGCTCTTCCAAAAAGGTCAGTATAACAAGGTTATGGATCGATTCTGACTTGAATAACGAGGATTTTAGTGCTGACGGAATACAGATACTGGGTTATAGTTATAGACAATATAGTGGGTTTCTACTGACGAAACAAGTAAGCTAGCGCGTACCATCTTTAGTCCGAATCATGACTAAACAGTAGGTAAAGTTAACAAAAAAGAAAAAGAATATATTGTTATTGTAGTATTTGGGAATCAGATAAATGAAACTTCATTGTGCGAGTGCGTAATGACAACTGTTTATTTACATCTACCGACATAGATATTATTCAATATGCCACAGTTATAGTTTGAATAGAAGTCAAGACTGAAATATAAAGACTTTTTATTCCCTGTGTTATTTTTATTTATCCTGTGGTCGCATCGATCGAAATTCGTCCTCAATACATCGCTTTTTGTCCTCATAAACTGTGTCTAATTTTACGTTGAAATTTTAATTAAATTAATCCAAGTGCAAATTTGAACATTAATTAACTACAGAAGAGTACTGTCGTGTTAGGACTAATACTCTAATGGAGTCACGTAAAGACTGGGCCACACCAGGTGTTAATTTACACAATTATCACGTACACGCGTCATGTGGCGAATACCTTTACAATAATTGCACTGAACTTTTTATATAGATCTATTGAGTGTTTAGAGCGGACGCACACCGTTGACTAAACTATCGCACAACTGTTGTGATTGTCGATTGTCTCGCAGTAAATTCTGTTTAGTTGCACAACTAAAAATGGTGTGTTTACCTCCATATAAACTCATAGAGCAAAGCGAGACTAAACAGTTGTGCCATAGTTTACTTTCAAGTATGCCCGCTCTTATAATGATCATATCACAGTGTTGAGACAAAATTGACTATTGTGGAAGTCAGATAAATATTACTGAAACAATGGGATATTGTTTTGCCTCCTTGATGATAATCAAAAAGCTATTTCCACCAAATAATCAGATATACATTATAACACTAAAAAACACTTATATCACGATTTTTGTATGTAAGGTTCTATAAAGTTCAGTAATAGTTTTTTAGGTTACAACAATATTACTATCTCGAACGTATTATAAAACGTAGCAGTCACGTCTACGTGTCCGAGGAAAATTGATTTTACGTGTAATTAAATTTTGCGTTAACTAAAGTCAGGTCATTGACATCAACAAGGCCTGTTTGTTGTTTGAACAACGCATCTTACTATTTGATAGTCATGAAAGTTACGCTTTTTAACCAACCAAGTTAGTTATGTTATACCATTTAAATCCTTTGGCTAAATATCAATAAAATTTCATTGTTTTCTTTATGTTAAGTAATCAATAATTGTATCTAATTACATCTTCTTTGAAGGTTAATAAGTTTCCTTTCTTTTGATATTATTATATAAAACTAGCTTTAACCCGCGACTCCGTCCGCGTGGCATGATAAAACAAAAGTAACTAACTTATGTGTTCTTCAAGACTATCTTCTACATCTATACCAAATTTCATCGAGATCGGTTTAACAGTTTGAGTTACAAACTCTACCAAACATCCATCCATTTAAACTTTTCGCATTTACATTAGTAGGATCATCTCATAAATTAGTAGTTTCTCATTAAAACTACTTTACAAAGTTCAATACTCCTATAATTAATTTATTATTCAGTTAACCTCTTTACCATAATCGTGCAACACGTATCCACGCGTAGTGACCATGACAATCTGGTTAATACTGGATAAATCCCGATAATGTAAACAGTATCATTTTTCTGGGCTCGGGTGGAACGAGTTGCGGTTGGTTATTGTCAGGTATGGACAAGGAAGGTAATTAAAGAATTAGATACACTCGAAAGGGATATCCGGCATAGTTATGTCGACAATTATTACGTTAAACGTGATACTGATATTTCTTCCTAGTTTTCAACTTAGTGTAGGTTAACATTGCACTGAAATTCTATCTTAAAATACCAGTGATAAGTTCATAATGTACAATGTAGATTCTACAGCTCTTAAGGGTAAAAATTAATAGTTTAGTATAGATATAATTACCTATACTACTATAAGGCATAAACACATATTAATTCGTGACGTATGAGGCAATCACAGCATATTTTTGAATAATTCTTTCTTTCATAAAAAGCTCTACACTTACGACACGCTTTAGGCTATAAATTTTTACGCTATTAAACTTGGGGGGTAAATAAATTCGATAATCATGTGGGAAAGGGACCATAAACTACAAGCTGCCAACATCAAGCAAGCGAAGTTGCCAAGGTCTTTCATCATGTCATGTCATTTTCACATTTGCAATTGAGAATTTGATAAATCTAAACAATAAAACGAAGTTTCTACAATTTTCAATTTCAATTTCAGATGAAGCAGCAGGAAAACACTTAGTTATGGTATTTAAATTACTCAAAATATCACAATATTACCTAATAGAAACACAATACACAGTACAATAACATTCACACAACTTAAATAATTCACTATGAGGTATCAATAACAAAACTCAATTAGAATAATAGTCTCTGAATAACTACGAATATGTACTAAAATAGAATACCTCGTATCAAGTTACGTAGAGTCTAGCCTAGACGGTGGCATTCCTGGGCCAGTTTGTAGGTGACACAGTCTATATTAAACAGTAAGTTAGATGCAAAATAAACATCTATCTTAAAAGACAAAAGTTATTTTGTTATGGTAGTGATAATTAACAGAAGAAAATCTATTATTATTTCATCTTTAATAGGATTCAAAATGTCTCTTATGAAATTCCAAGAAAGAATACAATTTAATAAGGATAAAAATGGCGACTTTCGTGCAGTTGCCGCTCTCTCATTGGTCAAAATGTGACGCTTTCAAGATGACATTGTTAGTTTACCAACTGTCATAAGATCCTTGTACGTCTATACAACGGCCGGGTTTGTGTGGCATGTGTACGAATCGAATGTCATCTAAGAGCGGGCGCACACCTTTGATTAAACTATCGCACGACTGTTGTGCGATTGTCGATCGTTTCGCAGCTTCAACTGTTATTTACACAACTAAAAATCGAGGTATGTGCATACCTCCATATATATAAGCTCATAGAAATCAAAACGAGACTAAAAAGTTATGCGATAGTTTATTTAAAGGGGTGCGCGCGCACAAGTTTTTAAAATGGATAAAGCCCTTATACAAAACAATGAAACATACAGACATTAGTGAAAAACATTAAATGATTCTATTTTCGGCAAAAATAAGAAAAACACTTCGTTTAGATGCCTTTGTAATTTAGTATTCTGGTAAAAGGAATAGCTAGCAATAAAATCCATTACTCACGATATCGATATGCAAATATCAGATCATTTGTGACGTAGGTTGCAGAGATGTAGCGATAGAAAGATAAGTACGATTGCCTCTGCATTTACGTAAATTGTGATGTCAATGGTAGTTCTCATAATATGAAAGGTACAAAAATCATGATATAAGAATAACAATGATATTCGATTAACGTACAAGATTTATATCTTTTTCTTTGAATCCTTTCCTTAACGTAATTAATAGAAATCAGTGCATTGTATCAAGTAAGTTATTGATTAAAAAATCGTGGATTGATTGACGACGCAATTAGTACTGTGTATGTCAGCTATTTTTATAACATAAGGTGGCAAACGAGCAAACGACCACCTGAATCCGCCAAAATGGCGAAGCGACCGCTGCCCATAGACATCCACAATTGCAAAAGCGTTGCCTACCCTTACTCGACGGAGAAGAAGACCCACATAAGGAGGATATTTCCCCTTCCTATGCATCTCCTCCACCGTCAAAACCATTTCCCCTTCGCATCCTCTCCTTATAAGAAAAGGGTGGTAAAGAGAAAGGGACTTATATTAGGCCTCCGGAACCTCACTCAACTGACGAAACACGGAATTGCTTCCATTTCACGCCTGTCTTCTGTGTGGTCGTGGTATTACACCGGGCGTGCAGGCCCTGCAGTGCTAAGATGTTAAAGCGGCTGTTGTCAGATGTTAATCAGGCTGCATCAAGATATTTTTCTTAAACACGTCGGATAATTGTTAAACTATTGTATAAATGGTGCTGCTGTATTGTCACAGTCTGGGGCTCGTGTCAACGAACTGCGCGCCCCGACCGCTTTACTACGCCGATACGCAATTCACTAGTTTCTAATAATCTCCAATATACTGTGACTTTAGACATGTACTTGAAGTTATTATAGTTAAGATTGTATATTTGCAGACTAATATTAACTTTTGTTAAATAGAATTATGGTATGCCTACTTAGTGAAAATATAGTTCAAAATACCAAAAGGACATAAATGCACTACTCGATAAAATTCACAATACCTTACACAATGCAAATACATAATTTCAAACATCGCCAAAATTTTCCGAAACATATCGCTATCTCAGATTATTGAGACAGATTGAGAGAGACGTAACATCACTCACCTGTTTGACAGCACCATCTACGTAATCCTCACAGACGTTCTTAGAGAAGAATGTCTCGACTGGGAATGTCCGTCCGGGAATAGTGAAGGTGGGCACGTTGCCGAAGAACGAAGAGAACTTGGTTGAGTCCATAGTGGCTGATGTTACGATTAGCTTTAAATCTGAACGACGAGCTACGACCTGCAAAAACAAAAAACAAAATTTAATTCTATGTACACTACATTATAGCAGCATTCTGGAGTCGTTTATTTGTCTTTATGTACATTTAATAGTGGTGTGTTATGTATTTAATAGTAATACACTACGAAGCACCCTTAGTAAACAATTGTGAGTTGACTCTGAGTACGGCAGTTAGTACATCAGATATAATGGTTATCTTAGGTCGGATTAATACCCTGTTTCTACAAAATTTACAATGAATCTTGAGTTATACGTCATTTAAAACGATTTTCGGTTTCGATATAGTTGGGTGCAGTCGATAAACATACAAACGACTTCTTATTATATAACAAAACTAGTTGTTCCCGTGCGACTTTATCCTCGTGAAATTATAAAATTTTTATTATATTGTTTACATGTGTCAAACTATCAATTGCAAATGTCAAAATGACTTGACATGATGTCAAACCATAGTAACCTTGCTTCCTTGATGTTGGCAGCAACTTATGGTCTCTTTCCCACATTAAGGTTTTTATCTAAAACATTTAAACCCTAAGTTTAATAGCGTGAAAACATATAGCCTATAGCGTGACGTAAGTGTAAGGGGTTTTTATTAAAAAAAGAATTAATAATAATATGCTGTAATTGCTGACATCTTAGGCAACAAAAAAGTATGTGTTTACGCTTTATTATAATAGTATAGATGTGTTTATTTGCCAATCTAACGTTTTTAGTAACATTAAAACCTGATCAGAAATGAACGGGAAATCGAATAAAATCAAGGACAAACATTGTTATAAATCTATTGAATTCTGTTTTTGTAAAAAAAAAAAACAGATTTACTGTTAATAAAAAAAGCAAACTATTTGATCATAATACAAAAGTAAATTGACGAGAATATCGAGTTTTTTTTTTAGGACTTTAGCAGTTTTATACTTAATCCTAGTTAAAGGCTATGTATTTTTTTATTTATTTCTTCTAGCGACTGATCGTGTAAAAACATCATTTTTTATACCTATAGAAGTTCACTGATATGTAACAATTTCAATTTAAAACCAACATAAATAACTCTAGCCAGTCGTGATATCGCTTATCTTTTTGCACACGTTTTTGTTCGGTGAACCGAAAAATTCAATTATGCCTCCTATGAGGTTTTTACGCAAACTGTTTATTAAGTTTTTTTATCGAAATTTTGTTTATACCTATAGTTGTTGTGTTCAAAGTCATTTTCTATTAATTTACGGAGAATTTGAGTTATGAACAATTAGATTTTTTTTAAAACCAATTAAAACGCGGACTATAAATAAAATTATATAAATAAGTCGCCACAAAGAACACAAGATAAAGGACATATTATGAACCAGTATTTATTGTTTAAATTTATGCAAACTTTATCTTCTCAACGAGTTCATACAGGAACACATCCAAACAAGGAAACCATTTGGACCTATAAATAAAATTAAAATCAATACAATGTAATATAATTAATAATTTAATTATATAAATATAAATATTATAAATGCGAAAGTCGCGATGGATGGATGTTGGTTAGCGTTTATACCCTAAACGTCTGAACGGATTTCCATGAAATTTGATTTCATCCCCGAGAAATGTCCGGTTCCTAAGGGATACGTAGCTTTTTGTTATTTATATAGTTCGTATGTTTTCTAATACCACGCGGACGAAGTCGCGGGCAACAGCTAGTATAATATAATTAAGCGTTAATAGCCTAATGGTTTTTGGTATGGACTACCGATCTTGCGGTCGAGGATTTGAATCCCACCATTCGACTATTGTCGTGAACCATATCCTAGCACAAGTCTATAGGTTAGTGGGAATGGTTAAAGGAAATATTAGTAAATTAACAAAAATCTATTAATATTTTAACAACAAAAAATAACGTGACATAACAGAATTCTTATGAAACTATGTATGATATTAGAATACTTTTCATTTTGATTTTGATTATCGATTTAGTAATACCTGTGAGAAGTCGAGACACATTGCTAGACATGCGAGGCATTACATATCAAGTCGGGGCACGTGTCGCAGTAATTACAAACATGCTAACATGTGAACCGGCCGACATTGACCGACAAATCGGACTTTGGATCAGAATATCACACACGTTATTTGTGACCCTTTGTGTACCGATGGCACTGAGATTTTAACCTTTCTATTTAAAGACGACGTAAAACTTGATTGTTCCTGAAGCACTTTTGTCTCCGATTGTACCTACAGGACAGTACACTGACACATAAAAGTGTTTAGTGTTTTTGTGTAAACAGTTTTTACGGGTCAATTATGCCTGGATTACATTTGGCCAGTAATACTGGCCCAGTATAATTGGAGAATAAGCGAAGGTCTAGCCCGGATTGTATAGTCTGACTGGCGCCAATTAGTTTTTACATTATTTTAACTTTGTATTTGATGATTTTAGACGCCACTAGCCTATTTTACTGTCTATGTCGTCAGACATCGAAATTGAAAGGCATCTCAGTGAAATAATGTAGCAAACTTACGTCGCACTTAAATTGAGGCGATTTGTGATAAAAACGTTTCTGTCTAGACACTATCATTGCGTAGTTCCAGACGGTCAAATTGATGTTTCTTATTTGCACGATGTTTTCATATAGAAGTTAGTGGGAGTTTTATATAACTTTTTAAGATCTTTTTACAGAACAAGGAAAATTCGTATATTATATATTACACGCTATGTACAGTATTATATAATTGACCTCAAGCCTTAAGCTGGGTCAGGGAGACCCTTGCTTACTTTGTATTCATAACGGTCACATTGTTACGATCTAATGTCTGGTATAACTATAATAGTAACGATTTTTACACAATAATCCATTTTTATTAATTTGTTTGACCTTTAGAAACAGTATTTAAAATACTAAGTTGAAAAAATCCACGGATTACGGAACAAACAAAAAAAAAACCGGTTATCTATATTTATAGATTCTTAACATCGAGAATTTGAAGTGCGTCTAAAAATTCTTTTGATAGTCGTTATTACGTATTGTTTTGTGTTGTATCAAGGTTACAAGATGTAAAGTGAGCAGCTGTCTAGACCACCGACGAAGTACCATGTGCAGAAAAAATAAACAATCGAAAATTAATGCATTTCAAAGAAAGCACACGTAATTTCTAATATTTAGTGCGCTTCTTGAATGTGTAAAATGTTTATAGGATTTCAGAGCATCAATTCTTATTTAAAAAAACGACAATTAAAAGACATATCAAATGTTCAAAGAAACCTTATAATAGAAGTTGTTTTGTTGAGACAGGCAGAGAAGAAAGAAAGAGTTGTTTCCACAAATTGTACTTTTTTGTTGACTGTACAATAAAAAACGTGATCTGGACGAGCCCCCAGACCACGTGTGTTCAAAATTAAATCAGTTCGTCGTTTGTTCGTTATTTAAAAACAGGCACCTCATTGGCTAATTTTAAATTAGGAACAGAGTTGATAGCAGATGGCGGGACTAATCAGGTTGTAACGGTTCTTTGTAGTATTTGACACGCACTATAAAGGATTGACGCTGTATTTTAATTTATGGTTGCCAGTAATACTTTCATAGTATTACCAAAGAAAATAAGGGGAACTTATGGTGATGAGGGTAAAATGAACGAAACGAAAGTAACAGAGATTTTGGTTTCATTTCCTAGAATTCGCTTATTACTATCGGACAACTGTTCTTAAAGTGAACAATAAAGTTAAAAATGTATTGGCAGTTATTATAATCGATGAAGGCGCTAGATGACGTCAGAGGTGCGTCAACGGATGTCAGCAGACTATCCTACACAACTCTGGCATCTCATATGGTGAGGTGACGTCAGATCAATCACATGACCAAAAAAATACAAGTTTTAATATACATAACCGATTTCATTTGATCAGAATTGAGTTAACATGATAAGAATTCGAATGAAGAGTTCAAATATGACAATGGAAATAATCTTATTTAAATGAAATTCAGCAATGAATAGATAGCAACTATACCAAAGTGAAGGAATTAACAGTAAAGTCATTTGTAAGCGATTTCACGTACTAAATCTATAAAAGGACACTGTCAGTGACCAGTTAATTACTATTGCTGCAGATAATAGTACAGAAGCGTAGTCAGACCAATAATAATTGGAAGCTTTCAAGCATGAACACTTCCAGTATAATTTACATAATCACAAACAGCAATGATCTATCGTGGTTTATGATTTCTCGAGATTGATGCAGTGTGGTTACAGTTCTGCGGCTTTGAATTCCAAAGCAGATATTCTGTTACGCGTTTGTGACGTCACATCTTGCGAGATCAATCTCCAAATACATTCATCAGAAAAATACTATGAAAGATTAGCAATCAACAAGCTCCACATATTTTTAGGGTTTAACATGTTAATATAGTGCATAAAATTTGTCTTGCACCAGGGAATTCCTTCCCACGGCCAGCGTAAAAGCGACATTCAAATATTTTGTTTGATATAGATACTGTCTGTAGAACAGGCAAGTTAGATAAATATTTGAGAATCAGAGTTATAACATATTGAAATAATGTGGATAGAGTAAAGCTTTGACTGGAAAGACGAGGAGATGATGGAAGAATTCTCATCTACCTTGAAGACAGAGCCCATGTCAGATATCCTAGTTTTACCAATGCTATGGAGGTTAACTCTCTCAATATCATTACGATTGCGATGTATGAAACTCGACAGGAATTGACAGAACTCTTAAGTCGATCCAAGAGTGATTCTTTTAACATGTAACCGGATATTACAACGATCGCTTTATACATAGCAATGCGTGAATAAATATGCTGATCATATAACTGATTGTACATTGATAATGTTGAAGTTAGTGGCGCCAGTGCCGTCTCATGATTGATCGCATTGATATGTGATACTGACCTATAAATGTATCTATGACCTTCAACACTGTTTATAAAAGCGGTCATGTTCAAAAATTTAGTATTTAGATTTAGTTAATGAAGATACGAGTATAATGGCTAACAGAAATGAATGGA